GCGGACCTGTGAGTTCTTGTGCCTATGCTATCATTCGCTCTTCAGGCCATGGCGGAGCGCCACGACGTCGTCCTCTCGGTCGCCTGCCGCATCACGGCCGAGCAGGTGCTGCACCAGACCGCCCTGCAGGTGCCCTACGTGCCCTTCCTGGGCCTGCACGTGCGGGCGCGCCACTCTCCCGGCCCGGCGCGCCGGGCCCTCCTGTTCCGGAACAACAGGCAGCACATGATCGCCTTCCGCGGCGCCCTGCGCCACTTCCTCGCGAAGGCTGGCGGAGCAGAGCGACACCGATGCCGCCACGGCGGGGGGGCGTCCGTTGAGGGATGCGCCCGGGAGGCTCCGGGCCCTGGAGAGTTCCTTATCCCATGAGGGATGCGGTGACATCCATGGGCAAGCCTCAATTGGTCGTCCGCCGGCCTCAGACCCTGGATTCCTTGCCCAAGGGGTCCTGATGCACTGCCCGCACCGGACTCCACGGCCCTCTCCGGTCGCGCTCCGACCAAGGTCTCGAGGCGCATCCAGCCGTGGAGGCGCGAGAATCGCAGCGGCAGCGGCCTCCCACAGGCGGACCCGCCCTGCCCGGTCGAGCTCGTGGACATGAACGATCGTCGTGAGGCGTTGCCCTACGAGGAGATGGCCACCTTCCACATGGCGCTCCTGCTGCCGCACGGGCCCAGCGCCCTGCGCCTGACGGACCTCTACGCAGCGGCCGTGCCGATGCTCGTGCCCGCAGAGCCGCTCGTGCACAAGTTCGTGTGGGCCACGCGGACGTTCGGCGGCTACGACTCCGAGCCTCGCTGGCGTCATCGGGCCCCGCAGTCGCTGCGAGCCGCGAGGGGCGAGCCTGCAGGTCAACAGGAGGAGCAGGAGGAGGAGGAAGAGGAGGAGGAGGAGGAGGAGCAGGCAATGATAGCGCTGCTTGTCCTGGAGGGCCATGAGGGCTACGGCTGCATTCTCTTTGGACGTCTGGTCAGGACGCACCGCGGGAGAGGTTTGGGGAGCAGTGGCACCGTCACCTTTACACCTTTTGTATGTCCCAGCAGGTGGTTGGCATCCATATTCGCCGCTCAATTTCGTGCACTCGTGGGCGATACACAGGCACATCGACGACCGGCGCTACTGGTACCAGTATACGGAGTGGGCGACGTTGCCGCATTTGGTTACCTTCAGCTCTCTGCCAGACCTTCTGCTCGTTATGGAGGGCATGACCCTGGAGGAGGTCCGCAGAGTATCCACCGCGATGACGCGCCACCACTTGTCAATGGTTGCCGATGCGCTTGGCTGGTGGCGGGCGGCGCTCTGCCAGCTGACGCTCGGCATGTAGGCGAAAGCTGGCGATGAACTTGTGCCCGAGGCCGACTGCCCACTGGAGGAGACCGTGCCTGGAGCTGAAGCTGCCGACGGCGGCTTCTTCGCAGCCGGACCCTGGACCGCCACGCCAGGCCGTGCGCGCCCAGGTCGGGGGGCGAATCGCTTCGATTATGGGCAGTCCTTCGGGAGCTCATGCGCAGATCCTGTAGGCGACGCTGCTGGGCCTCGTGCGCGGCCTCTCTCTTGCGTCCTCGCCTGCATGGAGCTGCTATGCTGTCCGGGCTCTGGTTGCTGGCCAGAACAGCTCGACGCTTGCGCCGTGGACTCGCAGCGAGCCCGCCGGGACGCCTGGCGGCCTCTTCTGTTAGGCGGGGCATCCCGCGCGCGGCTGGCCAGCCAGGCCCACGCAGCCCGAATCCAGCAGCGCGTCTCGCAGAGTCTCGCACGGGGCCCCTATTCGAGCAGCTGGCCGGTCACCTGAAGGCCGGGGGTCCCTCGTCCGTAGCCGTTTTGGCTCAGGCCACTTTGGCTCAAGGTCCGTGGGCATCTGTCGAGGTGGTCGAGGACCGTTTGAGCAGGGTGGGAGGCGGCCCGCCACCGGGCCCGACACCCTTGCCCCCTTTGGTGAGCTCCTGTTGGAGCCATTAGCTACTGTACCAGGCTGGCCACATCCTCGTTTCTCAGAGTGCCGCGATGGGGGGGGGAAGCGCCGCTCTGAACGCCGTGGGCCGCATGCCCGATCGTCATCGTATGACTCACCGTGCACCACCCGACGGAGCGCCAGCCGCTCTGCCGCCTCGCGGAGGAGGGGCCGCGACCGAGACCGCTCGCCAGAGCCTGCGGACATCGACCTCATCGCGAACAGCATCGTAGGCCTCAACCAGACCGTCTCGCAGAACACGCAGAAGATGGAAGGCGTCCGATCGGCAGCGCAAGGCAGCGTCAGGAGATGCAGTGAGCTCGCCGACCACTTGACCCTCCTCCACCGTGACGCTGCGAAGAAGCATGCCCAGATGTCACAGGACCTTCGTGCTGCTGTTACGGAGCAAGACCGCATAGTCGAAACTCTTCGTCCAGCAATGTGCTCAGGAGGATCGCCGATGCAGACGGACGCCCCTCGCGTGCTTGATTCCAACAGTGACGAGATTGCCCGCCAGTTGAAGGACCTCGCAGGGCACTAGAAGATTTCGGATAACCAGATTTGTGAGATAATTCTTTACGCTTCGCGTATCCCCACCAGCCCATCTCACAACAGCAACTCTTGCGAAGCATGCCGACAGTCGTGTTTTTCAGGCGTGTGTCCGCTTGGCCCCGCATATCTCCCCTGTTACTCCTTCCTCCCGCCTCCTTGTACATCCTCCTTGTGGGGGGAGCGGGAGAAGGACGAGGCGGAGGAGGAGGGAGAGAAAGCGCTCCTCGTGGTTTGAGTCGTTTGGGGTTTCTCGTCCTGGTGTGAGTCGTTCGGGCCCTTCTTCCTGGTGTGAGTCGTTCGGGCTCTTCGTGGTGTGAGTCGTTCGGGCTCTTCGTCCTGGTGTGAGTCGTTCGGGCTTCTCGTGGTGTGAGTTGTTCGGGCCCCTCGTCCTGGTGTGAGTCGTTCGGGCCCCTCCTCCTGGTGTGACTCGTTCGGGCTCCTCGTGGTGTGAGTCGTTCGGGGCCCTCGTCGTGGTGTGAGTCGTTCGGGCTCCTCGTGGTGTGAGTCGTTCGGGCGCCTCGTCCTGGTGTGAGTCGTTCGGGCCCCTCCTTCTGGTGTGAGTCGTTCGGGCTCTTCGTGGTGTGAGTCGTTCGGGCCCCTCGTCCTGGTGTGAGTCGTTCGGGCTCCTCGTGGCGTGAGGCGTTCGGGCACCTCGTCCTTTTGGGGCGTCTTGGGGGCCTCTTGGCGGCCCCAGGGGCTTCTAGGAGCGTCTTGGGTGCCTTGGGGGAGCCTCTTCGGGCTCTTGGGAGCCTCTTGGAGGCCGTTTGGGGCGTCTTGGGGGCCTCTTGGCGGCCCCAGGGGCTTCCAGGAGCGTCTTGGGTGCCTCGGGGGAGCCTCTTGGGGCCTCTTGGGGGCCTCTTGGGGGCATCTTGGGGGCCTCTTGGAGGCCTCTTGGGGGCCTCCTGGGGGACTCTTGGGGCCATCTTGGGGCCATCTTGGGGCCTCTTGGTGCCTCCTGGGCGCTTCTTGGGGCCATCTTGGAGGAGATCGATCAAAGAAGAGGGGAGCTTTAATGAGCGCTGCCCCCCTCAGAAGGCCAAAACGGGGCCAAAACCTTCGTAAAATCAATGAGTTTGGCTTGAAAGAAGAGGGGAGCTTTAAGTAGTGCTGCCCCCTTCAGAAGGCCAAAATGGGGCCAAAACCGTAGTAAAATCAATGATTCTGCCTTCAAAGAAGAGGGGAGCATTTTTTCTCCCTCCCCCCGTTGGGGCCAGAATCCTCGTGAGGGGTGTCGTTTTTTTTAGCCCTCCCAGGAGTCGAACACGACCCCTCTGACCACCCGCGAGGCGCCCTCTCCAGGCCCAGGGGGAGGGGGTAGGGGGAGGGGTAAACCCCTCCCCGAAGGGGAAGAAGGGGGGTTGAGACCAGAGAGAACTCTCTAAACCACTCACGCCCAAAGGGCTGGTGGGATTTACGCTGATGGTTGCTGCTTCGGCCTTCAGAACATACTCACGGATTTGATGCCTATGTTGTTCCTTCTTGGTTTACTGCCCACTGCCATTGGTCTATCTTTGAATCTCGGGAAGTGATATGTTCTGGTTTGCGGCTCTCTCTCTCGTGCGAGCGCCTGTCGGAGTAAATGCGGCGGAAGGGTAGCCGTTTCCAGGCGACACGGTTTGCGACCCAGGTGTTGTGTTTCGGGTTCTGAATTTGCCCGACGGCACACACAGTAGCATGGCAGGAGGTGATGGTTAAGTTCTGGCAGCGAGTCCGTCTTTTGCGCGCTCTCTCTCTCTCTCTCTCTTTCTTGGTTTGCCCACCACTATTCGACTCTTCCTCTCGAACTGCCTCTCCGTGTTGCAGTATCGAATGCACTTTGTCAGAATCACCACTGGATTTGTTGGTCAGTATCGGGGAACCCTACAGATCCTGACCGCGGGCCCCAGACATGCACTAAGCCAGTGTATGCTCAAGCAGATGAGGCATATTGGGGTATCTTTGGAAGTTGTTGACCTTGGGATTATGGACACGGCGATTACGTTTAGGGGTGTATCGAAGTGTCGGGCGCTAGACAGTGACCCGAAATGTGTTCGAGGAGCTTACTGCGGGACTTTTGGATGATGGTTTTATCCCTGGGCGAACTGGTTCTGTCTGGTGGAGGAACTCCATGATTCGAAGCACCAATGACGACGCCGCCGACATCCTCCACTCTGGGATCAGGCGAGACAGTAGGCACCTCCAGGGCCGTGCTCACCGCCACTGGCGTGGATTAAAGTCGGACGTCGTGCCGCTGATTCACCTGCAGACGCGCATTGAAAGATGGTTGTCTGAGGTTTCTATCCTTGTGCTGTTGGCGTTACGTACTCGGCTTCGGGCGGTTGAAAAAGGCGTCGCGCACCCACTTCATTCACCACGGGTATTATCCTGATTTTGCCCAGGGGTTTTGCACCTCGGCCAGGTTTCATAATGTTGATCGGGAGTGCTGTTTCAGGTGTGGGGTATCGGATGACATGCTCCACTATAAGTACTGCCGTGAGTTGAAGACCCTTGCTCTTTGGTGGCTCCCAAGCGTTTCGAACCTTCCAGGACTGCGGCGGGAGCAGGTCGAGAGCGACGAAAGTTGGTTCCCGATGCTGTCTCTTCTTGGGCCGTGCTGGGGGCAAGGTCGTGATCTGGCCTCCCGAAGACCCACGCCCACCATCGACTGAACAGCAGGGTCTGCCCCAAGGCCATCTTCCATGCTCGACTCCGGCTACCCGTTCGCCGCTACAGGAAGGTTGCCAAGATACTCCGTGGAGTGAGACACGCTCAGCCTCAACGTGTGAGCCGGCCTGACGTTGCGTGATTGCTCTCTCCTTTCGTCCCCTTCCTCCCCCCCCATTGGTTAGTTGTTTTGATGTTTTCGCGGTGTGGGTCGTTGTGTTGGGTCCTCGGCTGCTGCTCCACCCCCCCTGGCCCCCTTTGCGGTTGCTGTGTCTTGTGTCCCTCCCTTGTGTGTGTCCCCTGCGTGCTCCGCTGTGCTGTTGCTGCTGGCTGCGTGGTGGTGTGGCTTGGGTTGGGGCCTTCGCCTTTCGCGGTCGAGGGTCGAGGGAACGCGGCGACGGCGCGCGCGCGCGGCCGCCCCCCGCCGCCCCCGCCCGCCGCCACCCGCCGCCGCCTGCATCCGCCTCGTTCCTGAAGTGCCTTCCGCCTGCTCTCTTAGAGAGCTGCAGTGGTTGGCGCGTGCATGCTTCCCTGGGCCTGTGTGCCTGGGTCGTGGGTCTGCACAGGTGAGAAGGACCCGCACGCCGTCCAAGTTTCTGTGGGGCATGGACCCCGCTTGTCGGGCGACTGCAGTCCTCCCCGTGCGCCAAATGCGCCCCCCCCCCTTTCGGTCGGGACCTGCTGTCCCTTCCGTTGGGGGGGCGGGATGGGTCGCCTTCGCCCGCGCGCGAGGTACCACGGCGACTTCGGCCTGTGGTTCGAGGGAGAGCTGTGGCCGAAGGGCTGCTGCCAGTACCCCCTCCTCCCTCTTTCCCCCTTCACTGCCCCTCTGCTGCTGCTGCTCCCCCCATCCCGCACGGTCTCACCCTTGGTGGGCCCCGACTTCTGAGTCGGGGCCTTGCTGCTCACGGATGATGGTGATGGATTTGGATTAGTGGTGTGAGTCCTGAGGTGGGAAAAAATCCCCTTCCTCCTTCTCCTCCTCCTCCTCCTTTCCTCGTCCTCCTCCTGCTCCCCCCAGGATCAGGGTCGGTGCGCGCCCCTTCCGCTGCCGCAGGCCGACGGTGCGTCGGGCGCGCCCCGTGCCACAAGTGGCGCGCGCGCTGCAAGCAGCGGGCGGGGGGGGGGGCGGCGGGGGAAAAGGCAGGCTCGGGGGGTGGCGGATGCGGAGGGGTGTGTGTGTGTGTGTGTGTGTGCGTGTGCGTGTGCGTGTGCGTGTGCGTGTGCGCGTGCGCGTGCGCGTGCGCGCGCGCGTGCGTGTGCGTGCGTGCGCGCGTGCGTGCGTATGTGTGTGTGTGTGTGTGTGGTGTGTGCGTGCGTGCGTGTGTGTGTGGTGCGTGTGCGCGTGGTCTTGGCATCGCCCGGACGTGTGCATTTCTCCTTCGGCGAGGACCATCGAGGAGCATCCTGGATCAGTCCGCTGCCGCAGGCCGACGGTGCGTCGGGCGCGCCGTGCCAAGTGGCGCGCGCGCGCGCTGCAAGCAGGGGGGAGAGGCGTGGGGGAGGGGGCAGGCTCGGGGGGCGGCAGATGCGGAGGGATGTGTGCGTGTGTGTGGTGTTCAGTGGGCCCTGGAAGCGACAGGGCCGTTTTTGTTACCAGTTCCGTTTTGCCGTTTTTTTGCCGGTTCCGACGCCGTTGTGTGGCCGGTTCCGTCGCCGGTTTTTATGGGTTCCCGCTCCGGTTCCAATCCTGGAACCGTTTTTGTTGCCGTTTCCGGTCGCTGTTTTTTCGCCGTTTCCGTTTTCAAGGGGCACTTTTTCGGAAACGGCGGAAAAAACGGCCCTGCCGTTTCCGTGGCCCACTAAGGTGTGGTGTGTGTGTGTGTGGTCTTGGCATCGCCCGGACGTGTGCATTTCTCTTTCGGCGAGGGCCATCAAGGAGCATCCTTGAGCATTTGGCGAAGAAGCCACGCACGAGACCGCAAGAAACACAGGGAATGGACGTCCGAGCGATGGCCAGTGGTCTGTGTGTGTGTTCGTTCGATCGTGCGTTGCCCGCCCATAGCGAAGACACAGTGTCCTCGCACCGTCTCATGCCAGGCCGCACGCCATGGCAAGCAGTGCCGGCTGCGGTGGACGATGGGGAGGCACGTGGGTGGGGCACCGTCCACTGTGCAGCCACCCGACGCCAAATCACGCATCCCGCGCGCTGCTCTTGTCGCACCCGCCCACCTGTACCGGCCCATTCCCGGCACTGGGCACACCGACGCTTTTACGAGTTGCGAGCAACACACGCCACCTTGGTGGTTGCCGCTGTCGGTTTTTGGTGGGTGGACCAGCCCTTTTCTGGGTGGCGTGATGGGGCGGCACCTGCACCGCGCGACTCCGCACAAGGCTCATGATAGCATGTGGGA